ATGTGAAGTGAGGACAGAGACTGAGCAGCCATACAGGAAACAAGCATGACCTTCTCATGCATGCTCATCAGAGTGTGTGTGTGGGTGTGAGCAAACATGCATGTATGTGTATGCACTGGTGTTTAAGGGTCAGTTACCACTCTTTTTTCACACAATGTTATTATAAATTATTTACAATAAACATACAGTCTATATACACAAGCTGCTTGTCAGTGACAAGGCTTGAATTAAGTTAACACATTTCACAAAGGAACGTACCACTTTTAATAGTCTGAGGGTTTATTTTGGTGACAGAGAAGTAGTGTGTGTGTGCGTGTGTGTGTGTATAGGGTGGAGCTCACATGTAAGAGATAGGTGACATTAATATTACAACATCTCAATAATCCTCCTATTAGTCCTCATTTAAGCCATATTCTCTCAATATGCATTTCTCCTGTTTTTGTCACAGTTAAATGTGAGACAAGCTCATTTACTCTTCACCGATGGTCATTCCAGTCACATTATTAGTCCCAGGCACTGACAGTAACAAGCCAGGGGAGTGTTGAAAGCAATTCAGCTCTGACGACAACAGCTTCCAATGGCTTTTATTTTTACCCCAACTGTGCCATCTGTTCAGAACAGCATCAGGTGATATTGTGTATCAGCGGTGGCGATCAACACCAAAACTTCCTCTCATACACTCAAGTCTGGTTTCACTGAAACAACAAACCTCCTGGTGGAGGGAGGTGTTTGAGAAAGGCAGCAGTGAATTATGCTGCAAGAGTATTATCTGCATGAGCTGTATCTCCTTATAGGTGTGTGGCATCCAGGGTTATGTTTGCACATAATGTGGTAATGTCACTAGTGAGATATCCAATGATATTGACACATAATAGTGCGACACAGTAGTGTCAGCAGTGACAAAGTTTAAGAATGACTATAATGAAAATACAGTGTGGCTACCCATAGATAATAATGTGTCTGCACGAATGTGTGTGTGTGAGAGAGAAAATAATGATCTAGAGATAGCAGAGCAGGCACATAAAGGCAGACAGGTCTTTTCTTGCTCTGCTGAGCTGATCTGAACAGCCACTTGCCTGACATATCCTGACATGTCGAGAGAGAGAGTCTAATCCACACTGATCAAAATGTATAGTATTAAATGTGTGTAACTGTGCATCTGAGCAATCCTGTGTATTTGTGCACAAGTGAGAGAGCGCAAAAGTGACACGCTAGTGTGCGGGGCAGCAAATCACATGTTTGCACTGAGACTTTCATTGAACAAATGATGGTCTTTGAAATAAGTGATACACTGTAAATGTACACTACGTGGTGGGTGTGTACGAGTGAATATACACATGTGTGCAAACTGTAAAAGCTGTGTTTCGTATACTTGAAACACAAACTGCAGACCTCAGTTGGCACCTGGCGGGACCAGTCTAGCTGGTTTTAATCATCGTCAATATAACAGTGAAATTTGCTCCCACATTTCAGGAACAGGGACTGCCTATGAAAGCATAGTGCCAGCAAAGTGCACTCTGTATATCATCAGTCACAGTCCTCAGGCTATAACGCCTATTAACTCTAACTGATTTATTATGTTTTCACTTCATTACTAGTTTGAAGCTTTGTTATTGAGAAAAAGTGTTGGGTTAGAGTTTGTAAAGTGTTGTAATATCAGGTCTAATATAGCTAGAAGGAAAAGAATCCATCCAAAACCTCTCCTGTCTCTTTTTTATGGTACAGCTAGATACAAGGCCAAAGGTGAATTGCCACAGCAATGGAGTGCTTCAACGACCTACTCCATAAACTGCAGGAGGTCCATGAGCGAGAAGTGGAGGGTAAGTAGGAATTCTTACAACAACAGCCACTGGTAGGAAAAAAGACAAAGAAAAGCTGTGCTATAAGGAGTATTTGAAAGAATTAAAACAAGTTCTCATGACCAGGTGTGTTGTGTTTTTGATGTCTAGGGTGGCAGGTAAAGGTCCAAGAGCTGTCCAACAAGAAGGGCTGGTGAGTGGAGAGCTTCATGTGATCATGTTCACACAATAAAGCGCAGTGATACACGAGTTGAGCCGCTCTGTGGACCAGACAGACAGTCATGCTGGTCCTGCACCTGGCCCTGTCTTTGCTCATGTCATGTCTAGTTTGTAAAGACGCTCGTGTTGTAACAAGTCATTCAGGCTGATATTGAGTCATAGAATCTGCAAGTGCGTGTCTGCTGAGAATTAGTGAAAAAAAAAAACAACTGGCAGACCAGTGGGAATATTTTAAAGTGTTGATGTAACTGGAAGTTAAGCTCACAGTACCACCTGACAGAGCCATGAAGCTAAAAATCCAGTGATGCTGAAATGTAAACCTTTCATTCACTCACTCACTATCTCCTGTTCACGTGTCGACGTGCCTTCGGGCAAGACGCTCAACCCCAGATTGTTCTCCATGATCAGACTACATGTCACTTCAGTGTGCATGTGAACGAGAGGCGAACTGTAATGTGATATGGATAAAAACATTACATAGGTCACTGAGTGTAGAGTGAGGGGCAAAAATGGTGGATTTGTCCAATTAAAATGAAATCTGCAATGCAATAGAGTGTGCAAAAATGAATGGTGTCTGAATGCTGTTTAAGGTCACTGTACTGTTTCATTAGCATTATGCTTTGACAGGTGACTAATTCTTGGTGTGTGTGTGTGTTTGCATGCGTGTAAACAGTGAGACAAAGCGAATGGAGGAACTGTTTACTAGAAACCAGCAGATGAAAGAACAGCACAGATTACTGACTGAGAATATCAAGACACTGGAAAACAGGTACTGATGTGACGCTCTGCTTCTGATTTGCATGATTGTGTGTGTGTGTGTGTGTGTGTGTGTGTGTGTGTGTGCGCGCGCACAGTGTACACTACAGTAATGTCATATGGCATCCATAAAAAGCTCAGGGAAGAAAGATAGCACCTATATATACAGTGGGTACAGAAAGTATTCAGACCCCCTTAAATTTTTCACTCTTTGTTATATTGCAGCCATATGCTAAAATCATTTAAGTTCATTTTTTTCCTCATTAATGTACACACAGCACCCCATATTGACAGAAAAACAGAATTTTTGACATTTTTGCATATTTATTAAAAAAGAAAAACTGAAATATCAATGGTCATAAGTGTTCAGACCCTTTGCTGTGACACTCATATATTTAACTTAGGTGCTGTCCATTTCTTGTGATCATCCCTGAGATGCTCAGTATTTAGTAGAAGCACCCTTTTGAGCTAATACAGCCATGAGTCTTTTTGGGAATGATGCAACAAGTTTTTCACACCTGCATTTGGGGA